TTATGGGATATTTATGGGATATTTAAGGAATATTTAAGGGATATTTATGGGATATTTATGGGATATTTATGGGATATTTAAGGAATATTTAAGGAATATTTATGGGATATTTATGGGATATTTAAGGAATATTTAAGGAATATTTATGGGATATTTATGGGATATTTATGGGATATTTATGGGATATTTATGGGATATTTAAGGAATATTTAAGGAATATTTAAGGAATATTTATGGGATATTTATGGGATATTTATGGGATATTTATGGGATATTTATGGGATATTTATGAGATATTTAAGGAATATTTAAGGAATATTTAAGGAATATTTATGGGATATTTATGGGATATTTATGGGATATTTAAGAAATATTTATGGGATATTTAAGGAATTCCCATTTTTAAAATGGAGCCAAACCCGGAGCAGAACCTGAGCTCTGTTTTTCCAAGCCCAGCATTCCCTAAATCCCATTTAGGGGATTTTTTTCCATCTCTAAATATCTTGGAAAAATCCCAGTGGGAAGCCCAAACCCTCCTGCAGGAACTGGATGGAACTCCACCTCCTCCCCTTCCAAGGAAATCTGGGGTTTTCCCACGGTTTTGGCGGAGTGAGGAGCCTGAAAATTCCGTAAAAATTCCCAAAAAAAAGGGTCCTGGAATCACATCCATTCCCGACTCACCATAGAGAGCTGTCCAGGTTTGATTGATTACATCTAGACAGACAGTTCCTGACCTGGAAAACAGGGAAAAACGGGATTAAAAGGGAATTAAAAACAGGGAAAAGCTGGGATTAAACACGGTCCCATCCCAAAATAATCCCGGGATCAAATTATCCCACCCCTTCCCCTTCCCAGGGCTCTGGATAAGGGATTTATTCCCATTTATTCCCATTTATTCCCGATGAATCCCATCCTAAAAACTCCAAATGAAAATAAATTGGGATTTAAGGGCAGGAAAATCCCCTTAAACTGAAGGAATGGGGCAAAACCTCGGGAATTCCGCGGGATTTGAGGATGGAAAAGAGGGATTTTTACTCACGCCTCGTCGATGTTGGGATGGAAAATTTTATTCATGAATCCTGCAAGGAAAAAAAACAGGGATAAATCCAGGGAATACCCAGGGGATATAAACCAGGGGTTTTATATCCCATGAGAAAAGACTGGGATTTGCTGAGGGAAAAGGGGGATTGGGGGAGGGAAAAAAGGATTGGGAGAGGGATAAAGGGGAGGGAAAAGGGGGATTGGAGGGAAAAGGGGATTGGGAGAAGGAAAAGGGAGATTGGGGAGGGAAAAGGGGGAATGAGAGGGAAGAGGGGGATTTGAAGGGAAAAGGGGGAGGGAAAAGGGGATTGGGAGGGAAAAGGGGAGGGAAAATGAGGATTGGGAGAAGGAAAAGGGATTGGGGAGGGAAAAGGGGGAATGGGGGAGGGAAAAGGGACTGGGAGGGAAAAGGGGACTGGGAAATGGAAAAGGGGGATTGGGAGAAGGAAAAGGGAATTGGGGAGGGAAAAGGAAAAGGGATTGGAAGAGGGAAAAGGGGGATTGGGAGAGGGAAAAGGGGAAGGGAAAAGGGGGATTGGGAGAGGGAAAAGGGATGGGAAGAGGGAAAAGGGGGATTGGGAAAATTGGGATTGGGAGAAGGAAAAGAGGGACTGGAAGAGGGAAAAGTGGGATTGGGAGAGAAAAGGAGGATTGGGAGGGGAAAGGGGGATTGGGAGGGAAAAGGGGGATTTGAAGGGAAAAGGGGGATTTGAAGGGGGATTGGGAGAAGGAAAAGGAGGATTGGGGAGGGAAAAGGGAAAAGGGGAGGGAAAAGGGGACTGGGAGAAGGAAAAGTGGGATTGGGAGAGGGTAATTCCAGCACTTCCCTTGGTCTGTCCCCCCCCTTTGGATTTATCATTAATTGGGACAGAGATTTAATCCCTAAATCCATAAAAATATGGGGCCAAAAATCCCATTCCCAGCTCCCAGAACTTTCAGCCCCCAATTCCTCTGCTTGGAATAATAAATAAATAATAATAATAACAACATAATTATTATTAATATAATTAATAATCAATATAATTAATAATTATTAATATAAGCAATAATAAATAATAAATAATAATATATGTAAACAAAATAAAAATTGAAATAAAAATTAATATAAGAAATAAAATAAAAGAAATAATAATATATGTTAAAAAAATAAAATAAGAAATAAAATAAAAAATAATATATGTAAGTAAAATAAAAATATAAGTAAATAAAAGTAAAATAAGAAATAAAGTATAATAAATAATAATAATACATGTAAAAATAAAAATATAAATAAAAGTAATATAATGAATAAAATAAAATATAATAATAATATACATAAATAAAATTAAAAGATAAATAAATAAAAACAATATAATACATATAATAAATAAATAAAAATAATAATATAAAATAAAATAAAATTAGAAATAAAAATAATATAATAAAATATACTATAATACATAAATAATAATCTATGTAAATAAAATAAAAATATAAATAAAAGTAATATAATCAATAAAATATAACAAATACATAATAATAATATAAATAAATGAAATAAAACTAGAAATCAGTAAAAATAATATAATAAATGAAATGGAATATAATAAATAAATAATAATAATTTTAATAAATAAAATAAAACTGGAAATAAACAAAAATAATATAATAAATAAAATACAATATAATAAATAACTAGTAATTATATATGTAAATAAAATAAAGAGATAAATAAATAAAAACAAAATAATAGATAAAATAGAATATTTGCTGGGCACAAATATCACATTTTTACATCAATCACTTCATGGATCTTAAACCCAAGGTTTTATTTTCAATATTTCCAGCAAATCAAACCGAGTTTTGAGTCAACAAATTAAATTTAAAGCAAATCCGAGCCAATTAATTTTAATAAATTTTAATAAAACCATAAAATTATTTTTAATTTAATAAATTTTAATAAAACAATAAAATAATTTTACATAATTTTTAAGTGAAATACCCCGAATTTTATAATAAAAATGTTTATAAAACAAGGGGTTTTTTTTATTCCTTACCTATGGATGGGGATTTGAAGGGATATTTATCGGGAAGGTCCACTCTGACTTTCCACACTCCGCCCTCGTAGGGAGCTGCAGGGCAGGAAATTCGGGAATCAGGACATTTAGGAGACAACAAATGGAGGAAAACACATCCCTGAGAATAAAACATTCCATAGGGGGGAAGAGTCCTGGTAAAACTCCCATGGGAATCCCGGATTTTAACTGGGAATACTGGGATTGGAGTTCTTTTATTCCCTTTTTTCCCTCCCTTCCCGAGGTTTTTCACTCCGATGGAAAAGGTTTCCTGCTTCCCTGGCACTTGGGATTGCAGGAATT